ATGTCCCTGCTCACTGCAGGGGGGTTGGACACGGTGGCCTTTAAAGGTCCTTTCTGACCCAACGCACTCTGATTCTGTGATTCTATGATTCTACTACACGCGTTTTTATAGTGTTGGTTTCTCTGTGATTATTCTGCATTCAGTTAGGTTATTCTGTGATTATTCTGCATTCAGTTAGATTCCCAGTGAGCTTGCAAACAGGCAAGCACACTTTGCTGGGTTGCATGTGAGTATCTTCCTGACCTCTGCAAGATTATCACATGTTCAGCAAAGTGCTTGCCTAAGGGCTAGCCCGGGCTGTGGTCCGTTCTCCTTTGTTTCTTGGAGCCTGATTTGACATTTTTACATGAAACTGGTTCCCTTTCGCGATACACATCCATTTCTTATTGACCTTCTCTGAACTATTACAGGAATAACACTGTTATGATGGGTAAAAACCTAATGTCTCCAGAAGTTTTACGTAAGGGTGTTCATTTCAAACATGGTTACAGCCTTCTCTGACATCCTGTCCTGCAAGCCTGTAAGAACTATTTCAGCTCCTCCTTTGGTACCATCAACAGAGAGCATCTTTGATAGTGAACTTTCCTCTTTTTCTCTTATTTCTCTTTTTCTCTTATGCTCCTGATGGACACTCAATATAACAGTTAATGTATTAATAGGTAGAATCAAGTCCAACAGAGTATATATGTCTAAGTACCTGAGCAAGAGGAATGGATATGATTTTTTTTTTCAAAGTAGAAAAATGAGTTAAATATTAAGGAGGAAAAATAAATGTACGAGTGTGTGAAAAAAATGTTCGTTCCTACAGAAACATATTAATGGTATTTCATGGGATGAGATGGCTTTAGCGCTTTATAGTGAGTTTATATAGATTGACTTTGCCGAGGGTCTGTTGGGGAGGTATCAGTAACTGGAAGACAGTTCTGACTGAAATGCAACCTGCATTTTAATATCTAAATGCCTAGATGGCTCTGAAGGTATTTTAAATACAGAAGGTTTATGCATAGAAACAGGAACAAAATCAAGTACTAGACTATGTTTTCTGAGCTCTGCCAGGATATTCAGGGTCCTCAGTTGCTGTAGGCAAGTATTTAATAGACATCGAATGTGGAAAGTTGGGAGGGAATGTGGGAAAGAAAACAAGCCCAAGCATGGATTGAAGTTGAACTTTGCCACTTTACCAAGCTTCATATTAGTCTCACTGTGAATATTGAAGGAAAAAGCAGTTTGCACTTGGAAATAATGTGCTTTATCATAGCAAAACCAGTGAGTTGATGCCTACCAAATTTTTTTTTTTTACTGGTAGATTTGCTAAAACTATTGAGGTTTGCCAGCTGGCTTTGCCACTAGCACAAATGTTTTCACATAGCCTTAATCAACAGGTTAGTGTCAGGACTTGGCGTGTATTAGTTTTCTCTTTCCTACCCCACCAGCAACTGCAAGCTTTAGGAGAAGATATTTGAACTGAATTTCCTAAGAATGCTAACTTGGAACGCACCGTTGCAGAGTCTGTCCCAAAATCTAATGAAACAAATAGAAATGTTTCTATTCTTTTTGAATAAGCTCCAGACTGAGCAGAGCGAATTTCAAATAATTTGTCCTTGGGTCATGTTAGGTGGGAAGAAAGTTAAGTTGAAAGGGAGGTGAAGCTGGAAGTATGGAGTAGGACTGGGGGAAGCAGGGGGCGCGTTCCCAGTGGTTTCGTCTCCGAGTGGCGGTGTGTCTCCAGAACGTACGAACAGGCTGTTGTGGCTGGTGGCCTGTGTGGGAACGAGTGTTCTCAGCACACGTGACATCTGGGGACATCAGGACACAGGACACAGAACTCTACTCCTGTTCTCTCTCCCTGCCTGTCACAGCACTGCAAGTGCCTACTATTTTTCAGCATATTGTGAAAGCATTCATGTTGTTTGCTGGTGGTGTTGGCTAATTTGCTGGTAGATAACTAGGGTTTAGGGTTTAATATGAGAACAACCTTACTGGATCAGATGAAACGGTCATTAAACCCAATCTCTACCCTAATTCCAGGAGTGGCCACTAGGAAATTCTTAGAAAAGCAAGTAAGAACAGGATAAGCGTGCATGATACTATTCTGTACTGTGTTCTAAGCATTTTCAGCTTGAATTTAGAAAGATTTATTTGCTTTTCACTGGGAAAAGCAGAACAAACCAAAACACACCTTTCCTGTATAGTCAAGCAAAGATGTTTTAGTTTTGATGCTCAGATGAATCCGTGTTAGTTATGCATTTTTGTACTTTATTTTAGTATTTTCTTACTAAGTTTCTTCTGTCTTTCAAAGGCTGCGGGAAATGCTGTCAAGCGAGCATCAGACAATCTCGTCAGGGCGGCCCAAAAAGCAGCATTTGGGAAAGCAGAGGATGACGATGTTGTGGTGAAAACAAAGTTTGTGGGTGGCATTGCTCAGGTTGGTACAATCACCCAAGAGGTAGAGCAGAGAAAAGCTGTCACAGAAATGTAGCATACTGTTATCATATCCATCTGCTGGTTTGCAGACTGGACAAATCTACATAGAAATTTATGATAAATTGCTTGATCGCTCACACTCAGGTAACCACTGACATAACAGCCAAGTGACGTGCTCTAACATTCTCCACTGCTTCATCAAGCATTTACCGAAAGAACAGTTCCCATTGTCCAACACCTTTTTTTTGTTCTAATTAAGTTAATGGTTCTTTTCAAACTTCCCTTATGTACTTTAAATACTCACAAATCTTAGCGGAACAGTAGTTTTGTATGTATATAATAAAATAAATAGAGAGAGAGATAAGAACTGATGACATTTCATTGCTGTGACTGTAATAAATATGGGGAAATAATAATATTTTAAAATAGATTTCAAGGCTTTGAGGCTATGCCAGCTTCTGGTTTCTCTGTTGTGGATGAAGAATGCCACATACTGTGGTCATTACTTACATAGAAATGATAAATGTCGTAATGTATGCTTCTGTTTTCTAGATTATTGCAGCCCAAGAAGAAATGCTGAAGAAGGAAAGAGAGCTGGAAGAGGCAAGGAAAAAACTGGCTCAGATCCGCCAACAGCAATACAAATTTCTACCCACAGAGCTGAGAGAAGATGAGGGTTAACCTGCTGAGATTTCCTTTTTTTTTTTCTTCTTTTGTCTTTCTTTTCTTTTGAAGAAATAAGCTAAAGGGGGACAGTACAGTGAGAACTGCTCTGACAACATTCTGGTATGCCAAGCACTTACCTAAATAAACTGCCTGTCATAGCTTTGGATGAGGAGAGGGCAATAAACACTTGTTCTTTCTCGTCTGGTCAGCTGAGGTGCATGATGATCAAATAATGGTACAGTGTTAGATTCATCATTCCTGTTCCTTCCTTGACTTATATCTCAGGAGAGAATACTTCACTTTTTACTAAAGATACTAAGTCAGTATTATTGTTACTTTCCTGATGCTTGAGGTATTTATCATTCCTTGACTCGTTAAAAAAACATTCATAATATTAGTAGGAAAACAGTCAAGAAATCTTTCATATGATAAATATCCCATGAGCTGGTGGTTCTCCCCCAACTACCCTTGTAAAAAGAAGACCAAGATGGAGAAGGATGTATGTCTGAGTGGAGAAGCACGCGTGAGTGTGGGTTTGAAGAAGATGCCTGTCCTCTTTTCAGTGATTCATGGCTGGTTCACCCCAAAACTGGAGGAATTGTCTCTGCACCTGTTTGCACTAGTAGTATTACTCCTTACCTGATACCAACAAGCTTCTGCTTGTACAGTATTTAGGTTTACAAAATGTGGCGATAGCCATTCGTATAAAGAGCTCAGAAAACAAAGAAATGGAAACCTTGTCACTGCCTCAGTAATAGCAGGTTCATGAAGGAAAATGCTGTTTCAATTATATACCTCTAATGTGTGACTACTTTTACAGTATTATACACACATGCACGTGCTCTAGCATTGGACTGAGTAGTTTGCGTTTTGTTTTTTAATTCAAGTTATCTGGTTCGTACTGTGGGATTTCTGTTAGAATGTATGTTAGTTAAAGGGAAATGCCCAGTACAACAGAAGACTATCACAACTCTTGTTATTCTTTAATTTCATTTACAGTTATTTTGGTTGAAACCTGTGGGTATTGTAGAAGAAAAGAATAAGTGATTTGCAAGTAGACTTTTCCTGTAATATATTTTTTGAAAAAATCTGGACTCTAGGGAATTTTTCGTAGTTGGTATTAATGAAAATGTACTCACCAAGGAATTGCAGAGAAGGAATAGCAGCAATCTGTCAGCAGTGTTCAGCTGCAGAAGGGTATGGTATGCTTTCAGTATCTCTGTTGTGACCTGAACGATGGTAATATGGGTGGAGTGAGTACCACATTTTACCCTGCCAAAGAAAGAACACGAATCACAGCAACTTTACCTAGCAAAAGCTAAACTACTTGACTAACTGCAGAAACCCCATCTCTCCTTGCAACAGTTTCCAACATGCCGCCAACTCCACTCAAGCCCTCTTAAACAGTAATGTCAAGTCTGTTTTGGTCAGAGGATGTTGCCAGTTCAGTCCTGAAGGCTGTGCTGTCATAGAGATATCTGCCAAGTACATCCAGCTGAGCCTGTTACGTAACATGCATACCCAACTAGTTGTCATTGTTGCAGAAATACTCGTCTTGTAGACTTAAAAGTAACCCCCCTAGTGATAGGTTTGCCAGTTTAGATAGTGATAACTCATTTAACTTACCTGCATGAGATAGAATTATCAGGAATTTTGTCACACTAGTGTTAAATATATAGCAAAAAATGGCTAGAGAATTAATAAATATTAAAGTGTACAAAGATTTTTATTGTTAGAGTCTGTTCTCTGGTACTGACATATTTCAGACTCAGCAGAGTTGCTGGAGAAGCCGCTATCATGAGAGGAAAGAATTGGCAAATCCCAAATGGAATCACTGACGGCAGCAGATGTGCTGTGATGTGTAGACTTGTGCATATGCAAACTCTTACTACCAGACAGGCAATTCTGAGTTCTGTGATTTTCCACTTCAGCACAATTGATTTTATTTTCTCTCAACTCACTGAGAGCAGTGTCAGAGAAAACAATGTTAAGAAATCCTACACCAAAAAAAAAAGGTCTTCCTGTGAATTTTTAGAAGGCTACTTTGGTGTTTATTGCTGTAAGACCTAAGTAAAGGCAGCTCTAGTGATAGAGACTTTCTGCTGCTCTTGGTAGGTCCAGCTTCTTTCCAGCTTATGGCTCTTTCTCTTTTCCTACCTGAATTGCCTCACATTCCCAGAAAGATGATGCTGTCCTTAGCACCATGCCAGTATTTTACTGTAGGTATAATACTGTTCTAATGTATGTTGATCAGGATGGTATTGTCGGTTTGAAAGAAGCCAAAAACCTGTTCAAATGCAACTCTGTATGGCAATTGTATAGCTAGAAAACTTTATCAGTACGTGGAAGGAAAGAGCGTGCTCAAATTATGTTCCAGATAGATTTGTTCTGGAAGTCCATTTTAGCACAGTTTTTCTGAGACTTCTCTGCTCCTGGTTTAATGCTCCCACCTGATTTGACAGAAAGTAGTATTTTTCTCTTTTCTCCTTAGCTCTGTTCTCCACAGAAGAACCACAGTCAGATGAGTAGCTGAACTGAGCAACTCAAGTATTTTTTTACTCTGAATTTTGAGTCTGCATTTGGGAAACATTAAGAGAATATAAGCATATCTAAAATCTTTCTATTTAATTTTTTCTTGCTGTTATAATTTGTAGTACCACTTAAGTCCACATGTGAACATCTTTGGAGCTTGGAACTAGTCCATGCATTTAGTTGGCACGGAGACTTGCAGCAGGACGTGACAAGTTGGAGTAAGGGACAGAAGCTAGTTAGTAAGAAGGACAGATATTTACTTTGTTCTGTTAACTTGTGAAATGGTAAACGAGCTTTGTTGTATCTCACCCTTCTTCATGTGGAATTCACTTTAAGGAACTGTATGCAAATTAAAATCAAAATGCCTCAAAGTTGTTTGTGTACAACTAGTCTAGTGTTGTTTTCCCAACTGTTTGGAAAATAATTTGAACATTTTATCATTTGACTAATTTTTCTACATCAGAAGCCTCAAAGTGAGAAAAGATTTAAAACAAAAACTGAAGACTAGACTCTTATTTCATCTGTCCCCTTCCCTTTGATTTTCTGCATCTTCATTACTTAATTCCTAATGAAGGGATGAATATACAATCTAGAAACCTCCTCAGCATAAAGATGCTTAGCTCACGAGCATGTTTTGGCTATTATCAGTCCAAACTGACAAGATATTCACCCCATGAGTATGGCACGTGCCATGGCTGCCTTTATCTTCCCAACTTTTTTTTTTTAATCTCTGGATTTGGATAAATTTTTATTTTGGTGCCTTATACTGTAGAAGTTTTGTCCTTGTGTCACTGCATCATGATGAACAAAGAGTTACCTGCCCATAACTCTCGGGATTCCTGAAACCTGCTTTTCCGTATTCACCATAGGATACATTAACCATGTTGTGGTTGGTCATGGTGAAGGAACAGAGACATTTCTGTGGCACAAAGTTTGTGATGCCAAATGCAGAAAACTCTTGGGCCGTGTGAGTTGCTGTTACAAACCGCCTGATCAGAGAACCTGCGGGGAAGTGTGATAAGTTGGTTTGGAGGTTACATGCACAGACTGAATCTGGCTTGTGAGCTGCTCGTCTTTTAACGTGGGAGCCGTCCTTGGGCACGGCGCAGAATGGAGTGGAGAGTGATGCTGAGATCCCTGAGTGAATGCTCCCAAGAGCCTGCAGCAGTGGGTAGAGCCGCACAGGTGTACTTCAGCCCAAGAGGCAACATCCCTAGTTTCATCGCCGCCGTCAGGGGGATGAACTGCCAAACGCGCTGCTTCGGTCAGCGCTGGGCAGAGGACCTGGTGCTGAGGCCCGACGCAAGCAGCATTTATCAGTAGTGGTAGGTCCAGTAATTCTGGCAGAGCATCCCCCACGGCAGCTGTTTGATAGCAGATGAAGTCCCTGAATCTGATGCTTCCTGGCTGGAGTCAGCAGCTCGGCAGCGCGGAGCTTTGTGCGTTGCTCTGCTCAGCTTGCTGCAGGTGAGCGAGGGAGGTCCCCAGGAGGCTTGGTGACAATTGCGCCCCAGGCTGTGTAGTTTGCCTAGCCGCTGCGTGAAGCAGGCGCTGCGCAAGAGTTCTGGGCTGCAATGTTTCAGCACCGGAGCAATGTAATAGGAGAATGTACCTAAACCAGATGTGGCCCAGTTCAAGGGGCAGCTGAAGGAATCTTGGGAGTATGGAAATGCTATAGCCACGACATGTCAGCTCATAACTGACAACATGATTAGTTTTGCCGAAAGATTATTATTTGTCATTTATTGAGCTACAGATAAATGCCATTTTGTCACTTTTTTAACTTAATACATCAGTAAAGACTTCTGTGTTCTCTCAAATTAGTACACCTTGTTGCAGTGGAAGAACCTTCTGTTCACGATGGTTTTGTAATTATGTGCTGGAGTCTCTAGGGAATTGAACTCTAATGTTTCCCCTTCCTGTTGAAGTTTTAACCCCAAGAAAGGCCCAAAGGAGTTTGTCACCTTGTTGCAGTGGAAGAACCTTCTGTTCAAGATGGTTTTGTAATTATGTGCTGAAGTCTCTAGGGAATTGAACGCTAATGTTTCCCCTTCCTGTTGAAATTTTAACCCCAAGAAAGGTCTACAAACTCTACAAATGTCTATGCTGACGCACCATTATGTATAGTATTTATCTACCCACAAAAATAAATGAATAATATATTTTAATTTTGTCTTCAGCAAAGTTTGTGTCTACAAACTCTACAAATGTCTATGCTGACGCATCATTACATATAGTATTTATCTGCCCACAAAAATAAATTAATATATTTTAATTTTGTCTTCAGCAGCAATAAGGCCTTGAAGAATGAATTCCCTTTCTTTACGCATGTAAGTATTTCTGACTCGTATTGCACTGGTTGTCGTGCAAAGGATCGGTTTGCTCCTTAAGCATACAAACTCTACAAATGTCTATGCTGACGCATCATTACATATAGTATTTATCTGCCCACAAAAATAAATTAATATATTTTAATTTTGTCTTCAGCAGCAATAAGGCCTTGAAGAATGAATTCCCTTTCTTTACGCATGTAAGTATTTCTGACTCGTATTGCACTGGTTGTCGTGCAAAGGATCGGTTTGCTCCTTAAGCAAAATAAGGCGGAAGTCTCATCTCTCTGCCAGGCTAGGAAAAGGCAGAATTCCCAGGTGACACAGCAGAATGTTTTATTTAAAGCTCTGCTGCATTGACAGATCTATGAACACTTACTTTGTGATATAAGTCAGTGACAATTCAATATCCTTAAAATAAAGTGCACTTACATATATGCAAAATATTGACCACACATAAATATATACAAAAGGCAAGCACCAGTTACTTGAGGGTGTTGGATGCTTGGTGCTGTTGCATTTTTTTGGAGGTAAGGCT